CACTGCAAAGACATTTTTGAAAGAAGGAAAAACTTTTATTACTCCTTCGCAGCAATAGTATTTTCACAGTCCCCTCCAGTACAGGGTGTGTATTTTACACAGGGACAGTGACAGCAACCATGACTCTTTGTAATCATCTGTAAATGTAGCATTTTTTCCAGAAACATTTTCATCCTAAAGTCTTTGTCTGATATTTTTTTTTCTTTTGTATGTTAGAAGTTTGTTTACCAGACAAGATTGAAGTACTTCTTTAAAACCTTTTCTTGTTTCATTTCTCAGTTTCATGGCTATGCTGATAAAGCAGACAATATCTTGTATAACTTAGGTATGATTTAAATTAGGCTGGAAAAGTTCATCTTGAAAATGGATTGAAGTCTTTATCATTATCCTCCCAAATCTCTACACTCAGGAGCCCCACTGACCTAAATCTAGATGATAAGGTTCTTTCTTTTTTTAGCCTTCTTAGCTGCTGTAGAAGTTGCAAAGGTAGTGCTATTTTGTATCTTTATGTTCTGCTAAAATACTAGCCTAGGAAAAATATCTCAGGAGCAGGTTACAGAGTCAAGAGGGACAGGCAGTTTTATTAACCGTGAGTTATTGGAAAATGTGCAGATGATTATTAAGAAGATACTAAATATTCACTTGTCATCCTGTTCTTTCTAACCTTCCCTCCTGATCTATGCTTTCTTTCTTCCTTCCACTTAAGGCATGAGTTCTTAAAATATGCTGAACAATATACATTTACTTGTAAGTGAATAGAAAGCAGCTTTTAGAATTTACTGGAAAGGGAAGGAGCAGAAGCAGGTAGACCCCCATTTCCAACAAGTCTTATATTAGTTTCTATTCACTTACCATTTTGTTATTAAATCTCCACTGAATTTCTAGAGAATAGCCTAGAATATTAATTGTTGTCATTTTGGTGCTTTGCTTTTCTTATTGTAAATTAATCCAAGTAACTATTGCATATCATTCTCTTTGCTTTTCTGCTTCAATCATTTCTCTTACCCCAGTGATTTCTATGGATGAAGGTAAGACATAGCATTTAGGAATCTCCAATTCTCCTTTCTAAAATCCCCTGGAAATTTTTTGCAGTTTTCTAAATTCTCTTTGATTCAGCTATTTATTAAGCTCTTCTTATGTACCTAGTAGTGCTAGTCATTAATACCTTAATTTATAAAAATGCCTCAGTTAAAAGAGTGTACCCTGAGGTGAACAAACACTTCTAACACAAAGAGGAATAAAAGAGGTAACATGTATATGCAGCCCCAGAATCTAACATAGCTCATGCAAAGAGCACAGTCAGAGTTGTGACAGATCAGCTGTTGTTTCAACTGTTTTATACACAAAATCTAAAAACAACCTAGTATGGAAAGTGTTGCTGTTCCTCCTTTAGGGATGAAAAGATTGAAATATAAGAAAGGTAAGAACATGGTCAGATATTGCAGTGTGTCTGATTGAATCTTGTCTGCAGGTTCCTCATCTGGGGGCAATTGGGACCACCACTTACTACCTAGTATTATTATGGCCCTCCTCCAGGCCGAGGTACTCAGATGATTCATGCTGTCACTCACTCACTCACTCACTCACTCACTCATTCACTCACTAACTCACTCACTCACTCACCAAAGCAAGAAAGCAAGATGCTTGTCAGCTTAACCCTCGCCAATTGACATTTTACCCCTGAAACTGGAACTGGGAAAAGGCACATAGACTCTGTGGCATTTGTGGGTGGCAGGTTCACTGACTCAGTCTACTTTCTGCAAGATCAAGATATCTTGGACAATTCTCTCCACCCACCTCTTGCTTCATGAAATATAAATCTCCCTGGTGACTCTCCTGGTACGGTCTTTGCTGGTCTTCTGTGTCTAAGAGATGCTCCAGTTTCATCCCACACCACAGACCCATCTGGGTTTAAGGTGTGTCTGTACTAACTTTCAGATTATTCCCCCAGGAGTGAAGCAAGAAACTGCCTTTTGCTTGGTCCTGACTCTCTCTTTGACTTAAAAAACCTCTACTTATGTCCTAGAAACTAATGAATTACTGTTGGTATAAACTATGAATCTAGGAAATAATCTCTAAGCAAATATAAATTGAATGGTGTGAAATCCTCAACTATGGTACTTAGCTGTGCCCCTATTTGTCTATAAAAGTGTATTGTTTCATAAAATTTTTCATCGTGCATATTTTACTTAAAACATTGCTTAATATTACGGTCTTTAAGGGGGTGGTATTAAGCTTATTAGATTAGTCTATATTTTAACTTATTATACAGACTATAACTTGTAACTTGTATTTTGGAATATGTGTAAGAGTTTTAAAATCAGCACTGGTTACCTGGGAAGTCATGGGCACTGTGCTAGGCACACGATGTATAGCTGAGTGGAAAAAAATTCAGAACACATAATTAATTAAATAAATTATTTTGCATTAAAAGGGAAATTCAATTCAAGTGAAAAAAAAAGTTTATCATGCATCTACTATGTGCAAGAGACGGTGCTAAGTTGTGTGAAGTGTGTAAAAATTGGCAATGGAGTTTCCATCTTAAAGGCATTGTCCAGGAGGGTGGAGAAGGCAAACACCCAGTTGGCTAGCAGAGTAGATGCATAGGAGCAGAGCTCAAAGCGTGAGGAAAAGGCCACATGGCTCACGGCAGAGATGTGCATTTGGCTCAGTGTTGGAGATGAACTTGGAAGCAGAGAGACAAAGGGAGCATAGAAGCAAAAGGCACAGGAGAGCCAGTGGCATCAGCGCCAAAGGGAGCTGAAGATATGCACAGGAGAGACATGGACAGAGTTGGTTTGGGGTCACATTGTAAAGGGTTTTGAATATTAGAATGAATGTTTGTCAAAGTTATATTCTTTTAATCTCCTTTATACACAAGTATATATAATTTGTCCAGCATGCTTTTAATATTTTTAACCATATTTATGTTATACATATACAGCCTTTCGTATCATACTTAAGTGAGCAATATTATCATACTGACATTGTCATAATGTGATCTGAGTTTGACATAAGTTTATGCAGAGAGAATTTTGATTGTGGTAGTGCATGTTCTGTTTGCCCCTTTCTAGGTTCTTTTATAGAAGATGACATAAAGATTGACGAGAAATGTGTGGAAGCAGGTACCATTTTCTCTTGATAGATTTATCACTATAAGAAATATGAAGTACTTCACTTCCTAACCAAGCCTCAGTTACAGTTGATCTACAGCAGAGTCAACCAAAGTCTTTCCTTTGGGAGAAAGGTGTAAGATAACCCTCTTCCTTTCTTCTGTGGTCTGGCGCTTGGCAGATAAGCACAACTGTGCAAATATCTCCGGCCTCTAAAATCACCTTCTAGAAAGAGTTCTAGAGAGGGTATCTTGGCAATAACCTCAGGAACATTCATTCAATAACATTCAGGTGGGACATGTGGAACCAACTGGTACCCAGCCCTATAAAAGCTTGAGCTATTAAATTTAAAAGCAACAAGTACATATTTTGTTATTGTTTTACACTACCTTCTGATAGATCCAAGTATAAATAAACAGTAGTAGGTCCTATCACAACCTCAGTGTGCTTCTTGTTTAGATGTGTCCTCAATAGGCCCAAATTTTGTCAAAGAAAGAGAAATTTATTATCTGCAGGCAATGGACACAAGGAATGTGAATTTTTGCACAGACTGTACCCTGGGTGAGGGGTGAAAGAGGACTTTTAAGGAAAAGGATGGCATTCCTCATCTATGTCAAACAGATGCCGCTGACTCAGCCTTGCTGTAGGAAAACAAATTTAATTCTGTTGTGTGTGCAGAAGCCTAAGCTCTGAGAATTAAGCTGGTAAAATATAGATGACTAGTAATATAATGACACTTTTGTTTTCCTCCTCTCCCCCTCATGGGAAATCATAGATGAAGAAACATTTGAATCTGGTATGTAAAAAATAAATATTTGGTACTGAGTTTGAAATGTGTGTTGCAAATTTTGGTATAATTTAAACATATTTAGAGATAAGAAACAATAATTATTTAAATACATCAACAGTATAATAGTGGAATATTATAAATTTCACCCCACCCAGAGCATTTTGGAACTCTAAGCAGGAGGCATTTTTGATTGTCACATTGACTGGGGCACTGGTTTGATCAGTAGGAATTAGGAATCCTGGACCACCTGAAGTGTATGAGACATCTTTCACAGTGTCTTGAATGTTCTGTGGTGAAAATCTATTATAATGTAAATGGGTAGATCTTTAATACACAATAGGGACATAAAATTTCACAAGATGTAACTTGGAAAGTTCAGAGGCTTTAAAAAAGATTCATTATGAAGAAAAATATTTAAACAGAATAGATGTTGCATTCCATTTATTGAACAATCTACACACTTGGTCTACTACATACTGGTAGTAAGTAAACTGGAAAATGAGGTATTTATATTGAATCAGTTACTTTTTTTAATTTAATGTTATTGATGACATATGTTATCAACTGTCCTTCAAATTAATGACATTGGCAACAAAGTAGATTCCACAGAGTGTTTTTGAAAAGCTGTCTGTCAAATTTTGGGGCATGTTAAGATTACTTGCCCACTTTCAATCTTATGTTTTCTCATCTCCATTTCATTAATTTATCATTTCATTGACACACTATCCCTACTTTAATTTAGGCACTTTTCCTCCTTGTTCTGTTTACAAATTACAAATCAATGCAGTCTGTTTTATCAGGTCACTTTATTCTTCAGTGTACCTGTTACTTTGCTCTCCCACTCTCCTTTACTTCATGTAAAGACTATTTTCTGATCTTACTTCTTTATTAGGTAATTTGTT